TATATTATACAGTTAAATGTTATTCCCATAAATGTGATTATTGTGTGTTCTTGTATGTAATACCTGTCATTCCACCGATGGAGATTAGAGTTGGATTACCCATTTTAAACCTGTAACATGTTTATGTGCCTATCCAAATTTTAGAGTTTAGTATGACGATCATCTTTTGTTTTGAAAGCAATGTTAAGTTCTAACTCTAATGGAAAATGGGCTGCATGTAATTGATGTCAATGTTAATATTGCAATGTTGGTTGTATTTCAAAAAAAAAAAAAACCCCGCCGAGGATAAAAATTAGTGGACATCATCAACAGCGATAAAAGAGACAGGTATGACCTGTGAAAGTGGACGAAGTTTGATAGCAAACTATTTCAAACAGTCTAACTTTAAAAATTAAGTTAATAAAAATAATTTCGTTTCTTTTTATCAAGGAAATGTATTTATGCATTTTATTTATAACGTAATTATCTATGTAGACGAAGAAACTCGGTCTTGACTGTTTGTTTCAGATAACGTTTTATCTTATTAACATATTATCATATAAATCAAGTTATTTCGTATAAGAAAAGATATAGACACGTCTGTGTGTTTTTGTTTACAAACACATCCATCATTTATCAGGTGAGTTTTGCGTCAATCACATTTGGAATTTTGTTATGATGAATATTAAGCATTAAATACCCGTAAAGTTTATGCGAGGTTAAGCTCAAAGCACAGTCTCATGCAACTGTGCAATCCTGATAAATCGAAACCAATTGGAGATTCGAGATATATTCATCTCAACTTATCTTCATTTATGAGACTTTCAGATAGAAAAAAAAAACAGAGAAAAAGAAAACCGGAAAAACGAATTTCTGTGCAAAAGCGAAGACAGAAAACCTTAATTGAAAGATTTTTGATTTACTATTGTTGGATCACTATCGTACTTTTTTTTTCTTCCTTTTCATTTTTCAATAGTTATGAAGACTTCGTTCTCTATTAAAATGCATCAGTTTTGTGTTTGTTTGTTTTTTTATTTTTGTCCTACATAAGATGGAACAGCTTTTGAGTGTCCGTGATAAGAATGGTACATGCATACTGTAACGTGACCGAGGGGAGGTCAACACCCTCGACACAGACGGACGGACATAGCCATCTATGGCACGACAATGTATCCTGTGGTAAATTCCATTAACTAAAAAATACGGTATCTATTTACAAGTTTATTCACAAATGTACATTACTTCAGACTTATTGACAAATTATTAGCAACAAAGTTAAAACATATAAACTTTCAATACAAGTCCTCCAGAATCTACTGATTCAAGACTTCAAGGAAAATCACATCCTTCCAGTATCACAGCTGATACACAATCTGCCAGTCTCTGACCAACTGACCTTTATCATAGAGTTTAATTACTGCATCTCTAGACAAACAAATAGGCATAACTAAATTTTATTACCCTACACCCCAAGACATCGTTTCTTGTCTTAATTACATCTGACAGTACACCTTTAACTGCAGATAATAAAACTAGCCATTTGTCAAATTAGCCTTGCGTCATTAATTTTCTCTGTACACAAATAAACAGTTATAAAGCCAATTTAACCAGAGGTCAATATTTACAAAACATTAAAATATCACAATACAACATAAAAAATAACACATTAAAGATATCGTTTGTACGAATGGCTTTTCTGGATTAGAAACGTTCAAACCTTAACATTTGAAAGCCCGGGATGTATAAATACATAGGTACGATAGAAGCAATGTGACCAAAAGGATTATGAAACGCGTATAGGGAGTCCTGTGCCATAATATGTAAATACTTACTCCACATAGCTTTTATCTAGTATTTCGTTACGAAACAGTCTCGTTTTGAAAACATTATCTTTGTGAGGCAAGAACGATTAGGAATTCAAGTACCCTATTTAAGATATTCATGACTTGAGCAATTTAACTAGTGTTTTCGTCCTTCACCTTTATAAAAGGTTCAATACGTAAACCGTCGATTGAAAATAACATATTCTGTCTTCCTTTTATAAACAGTCGGATAACATTTAGTTCAACAGTAATAACTTTGTATTTAAGGTCAATTTAAAGTGTGTACAATGGCGTTGTGGGATAAATATATTGACAACTTGATAGCTCGGTCAAAAGATAAAAAGGGACACGGCCACATTCACAAAGCATGTATTTTAGATATTGACGGAGGAGCAAAATGGACGACTGATAATCATGCAAATGCGTTAAATTTAAGTGAGGATGAGGCAACAAATATTGCAAAATGCTTCAAAGAAAAGGCCTTTTCTGAATTTATTCAAAGTGGTGTCGTTGCTGAAGGTTGTAAATATTACGTTATAAAGAATGATGATGAGAAAACTATTTGCGCTATAAAGAGAGGTACTGGTGTAATGGCAATGCAAAGTTCTAAGACTGCCATTGTCATTGCTCATACTTCTATTCAAGGAAACGGTCTTTACGTACTAGGAATTCCAAATAAAGCTGTATATAATGTTGCAAAGCACCTAGAGTCTATGAACATGTAGTTAATTGTTTGTGTTCCTTTTTAAAATATAACTATAAAATAAACTTTGAAAATATGTTCTAGTTAGAACGCTTACTTCAAAGAACTATAACATTTGTATAATATAATGAAGATAGCACAAATAAAACAATTATAATAACAGAAATATTTAGATGTTGGTTTTTTTAATTGATGCAGCTTTATATTGTAAATTTAGGCAACTGTAAGTTCATAATGTACAATCCAGAAAACCTGCCATAGAACTCAATGGTATTTAAGCAATACCTGTTACAGTAGTGCGGATTACACTATTTGGTAGTATATATCATTTACTCATTTATTGCCGACATATTTGTTGTTCGTATGAACTCTTTTCTGATATGAATTCAAAGAGAGAAGGGGATAACTTCAATGCAACAGTTACCCAATGATTTTTTTAACAAAACTACTCAGCCAAAATTGATTAAAACCTAAACTCTTGAGTACTACCTCTATCTTCCAGACAGATTTACAGCAGTATAAGTTAAGTGTTATTCCTGTGTATGTGTTTATTGAAGACTAGTATTTATTTCCTTATGAATCTTTTAAGCGTATGTGTTTTGCTTGCGCATTTTTTGTAAGTAGTTCGATCTTCTCGATTACAAAAGGTTGTTTTCCACCTTTTCCATTTATCGAGTTTAGTTCACACCTGACCAATTCAACAGGTATATTTTGAAACCATGTTAAAAAAAGATGAAGTTCAGCATTCTCCAGCTAGTCATTTGTCAGGGATGATTTCACAGCTAGACTTATCTCTGTACTTACAGAAGTTTAACTGTGCTTTAGACAAGAACAAGCAGTCACTAATTGCTGAAATAGAAGAAAACGTAACTTTAAGCTGTCCTGCTAGACCTCCTTACACATCCATCCATAAGTTGAAGTTCGATGGAAACAGCAGACAACATGAATGTAGTTCGTCCCTCCAAAAAGTTCTTGCCATATCATTGTCATTATTGGTGCGAGGTACCTACAGTTGGGTCAAGAACTTGCTTAAACTGAGCCAAAAAAGCGTTACTGCAAAGGAACAACATTATTGGTTTTTTATGGGTTGGTCATGGTAGAAGAGTACATATACGACCTTTTAATCGATGGTTCACATGAAGCGACAAAATCGAGACAGGCCGAAAATCGGGCATAGATAACAAGAAGAGAAAAATGCGAGAAAAATCAACAGAGACAGTCCTTATCTTAAGGTGTTAGGCGTAAAGGGACTTTTTCGTGGGCCTGGCTCAACACATACAGAAGCAACACCTAAATATAAATCTCAACCATGAAAACAGGTGTACACGCAGTCAAAATCTTTTGATAAAAGTTTTGAATACAAAAAATGGCGGTTAGTGCATTGATTCTTTCTTTGTGTTGCAAGTTTAGAGAAAAAAAATCCTTTTTTGAGAGCCAACAGTTGTGTTCTAAATGTTTTTTTCTACCGGTTATCTAATTCAATTTCTAATAGTCCGTCTTCAGTATGTTTGAAAAATAATTATTCTTATTCACATGCTTTATATGTCTAAAAGAGGTACGAAAGGTACCAGAGGAACAGTCAAACTCAAACTCTAACACTCCATTAACAAACTGCTAGGCACTATGGCTGTTAAAAGATCAAATTTCTTTCATTGTAAACCATTTAACTGAATACTTCAGATAAAGATCGCTTAACTCTTGACATTCAACAAAAGTTTAAATTGGGGATTTGTTTAAAGCTTTACAATTTGTGATTGAACATGGATTTATGTTTAAATTAGATTTGACTTTAGAATATCGCATTATTGAAATACGCAAAGATCACCTTAAGTAATTGGAATTTGAATGGAACTTCTGTAGCTTAGTTAGATATTTAGTTTTTCGTGAACTAACTTTCAGTTTATCTACGCAGAGCATATATTTTTTCGCTCAAAAATACTAAGGTCGTTAGTGAAACACTAGCGTTCATAAGGTAATCATGCATTTAAATGACGGATGGGCATATATTCAGACTTCAATTCTTCTTAATTGTTAGCTTTTCAGGAGAGATCTTTTATCAACATGTTTTTCTTGAACAAAGAGAAGAGCATTAGGAATCCACTCAATGTGTTGTTGGAATCTCAACTCTTGCTCTTAAGAAATCCCGCAAGAAAAACTTGACATATTTAATACAACATTTGAATCATCGCTGACAATCCAAATTCAATGACAACCAGGCGGTTAGCTAAGGCGCTGTCCCTAGCCTATTTTCATTCCACTCCAACGTCATTCTTCATTGAGTTAGCTCACTGTGGAAAATGCTGAGGCAAATTTTCATGACTTTACGCAACTCTATTTATTTCCTGCTCCATTAAAAAGGTATCACTCGTTGTGTCCTTCACGTCAATTTTCACTTATAATACACTTCATATCATTTAGTTAATATTCATAATGCATCAGTATATAAAGCTTGTTGCACTGTTTGAACATTGAACATAATAACTTATCAATCAATATTGAAGTCTTGCTAAATATTTATTAATAATAAAACATGCGTTCCACGTTCAAACTGCACAAATGGAAACAGGATAATATATGTGTAATTCAAAATCAGATCTTTTGGTGAATACTAGGTAAATTTGATAATAATAATAATACACCATGACGCCATATTTACTGTATTCGTTTTTCTTATTTGATTTTATTTCCTTTAGCTAAATATTTTCATTAAAAATAGTTAAAATAAGAAGGTTCCATTCACATAGACATAATTGGTGTCCAGGAAAATAACTGTATTTCACCACAACTTTCAGTGCGGTACTGGCACAATAAAGGAAGATGCCCTGCAAATTTGCTGTTCTTTTGGTGGGTCATCATGGTCTCTTGCCCAGTCTTGAACTTCTCCACTGACGAATGTACCGAAAATTATGGCACCAAATACTGTAAAACCTGCACAAACGTAAAATACATTTCTCCATTCTTCTTGAGTATTCTGAAAAACAAAAATAAGTTTAATGGCATACATTTCACGGGATTGCTGTCTTATTACCCAAAACTAAATCAATTCATATGCATAATTTCAGGAATCGAAAACGTTTTTTTAACATTACAGCCGAACAGTTATTGCTACCTATAGTCAAACCGTTTTATAGACTGGAGTGTGGCTGATACGTCTTTTTTTATGTTTTATGTAATGTATCTAGTTTTTTTTAACCAAATAGCTATATTTGATGGTTAACATGGCTCCTAAATGAACTGTTACGTAAAGTTATGTTAAGGCTGTGAGCTCAAACTAAAAACAGGATACCAGGGACAACACTTGTATAATATACATAAAAAGTGATTTGTATGTGTATATGAATAAAGACGAATTTGGTTAAACAATTATGGAATAACCGTTTCACAGATGATATCGGATATGTTCCTTATGTCGTAACTACAATACCCTTCCCTTTTCACGAATATGACCTACCGAATTAAACTATTTACCGGATTTGTAATAACATAAGCAACAAGACGGGTGCCACATGTGGAGTAGTATCTGCTTACACTTCCGGAGCATCTGAGATCACCCCTAGTTTTTTGGTGGGGTTCGTGTTGATTAGTCTTTAGTTTTCTATGTTGTGTCATCTGTACTATTATTTGTCTATTTGTCTTTTTATTTGTGGCCATGGCGTTGTCAGTTTGTTTTCGATCTATGAATTTGACTGTCCCTCTGGTATCTTTCGTCCCTCTTTTATGCAACTGCAGTCCAATGACAAATTGTAACATGTTATTTGTCGGTTAATTGCATCATGACCAATACTTTAATTGGTGTTTTGCGTTTTGCATATGTAAACTACAGCTAAAATACAATACTTACATTCGGTGTTAAAGCACCTGCAACAATAGGAGCTATCATACCAGGAATTGTGGCAAACGTATTGGTTATACCAAACATAATTCCAGCATACCTGCAAAATATGAAGTTTCGGTCAACTAATAGTGTTTTTCTTAATGCAATGAACATATTTTGATTCTATCTCATTTGTAGATACATGAGGTCAGTTTCTGGATTGTTTTGAACAATTGTATATATTGTGTCCTATTTGAATTAATATTCACCAATTCCATTATAACAAAGATTTAAAATTCTATCTTAAATGTACGATATACAATCAACATCCGTATACTAAAAATGGGTATAAAAATTTTGTCAAGTAACCAAGACATTGTATTTGAGATATTGGTCTGGCAGATCAGTTAGAAATATGTTTTATTGTATTCATTATGAGTCATGGCTTTTCTGTTTTCTGTTAACATAACAAAATATTCGAGCAAATTTCAAGAACATCAGACTGAACGCATAACTATAACCCTATCCTTCGTGATCAGAAACTTTCATTATTGTACATTACGGTGTCTTTTCTAATGGAAATTAAGGATGTTCGTACCTCTCTTTACAAGCTTTTTAAAAGACTGTAATAAACTGATAGTATGTGAATAAAGGAACTTAAAACATGTTAAAAAGCAGAAAAAATTAAAGGTCTGTGTCCTTGATTATGAGATAAAATCAATTGAAATTTGGCGGGAAATGATTCCCTTTAGATTTTTCATACGTTTAACATTAGCACCTTTATCTTTCAAAAACTATAAAAAATAACAAGGATTTTATAAGATTTTCAAAATTGGCTTTTTTAAACTATATGCTATAAAATTATGAAAAGAAAAGTAGGGTTAGCGGACTAAATTTTTATTGGCTTTACATGGATAAAACTAGAGGATTCCGAATATCTGACAAAAAGTCAAAAACAAGAGTAACAAACATCCTTAAGGTTACAGCCGACATGGGTTGGCAGAGGTGTAAGATAATTTCTTTGGAAGCGGGTGACAATCTGATTAAAGTTCCGGTGGTGGTGAATATTATTTGGCATATGGAACATTTATTTTATCTAATATATTTCGTGCAGCAAAATATTACATGCTTTGTAAATAAGTAGTGGGATTTTAACGCTCTAGCTAAAACGGTCGAAAGACATTATCCACCAAAGACACATTGTTCTGATCCGACTTCCCCTCTCCTGTTTTTGCTTGGCAAAGAAGCATCATGACCATTAAAAAGTTTAATTTGTCATGTTCTAAAATTGAGCCAACTATACCCCCAATCAAAACAGATATGCTACTTTGAAGGCAGATTCCAATAGCTTTTAAAAAATGAAGAATTGTATCACTCGAAGAAGGTCATACACAATAAGGATAGCAGGAATTTCTTTAAAAAAAACAGGACAGTACCACATCAACCTGCTACAGCCGACTTCTTCGAAAAAAAAACAAACGTTCATACAAAGACCAACAATGTATGATCCACAAGTACCTATGTAGTGTCGATTCCAAACGTTTTCTTCCTCACCATAAAACGTGAACAGACAATAAAAAACATGAACAGAACAGATACCGATAGAATGACAAGGAAACTGAACAAGACAATACAAAAGCGTTACATTATTTGAAAAACCAGAGTCAAAATATACTCGGAACTAAAGGAAACTAGCCAATGCAGCTACAGCTGTAGACTGGTGTCCGATCGCAATATTCAGTATGTTACACATAATACCTGGAACGTAGTACCGGGAACCAGGATACTACAGCTGTTGTTTGGATAATGCCGATCAAGAAATATAACGGTGAAACCTACGCTATTTTTTTTAATAACTTGTCCTCTTTTGAAAATCATTTAATAGGTTGTATAATGTTAGTTTTTTCCTTTTGCAATCTGGTTGTCCGAATATAATATATCAATTCAGATTCTGTTTACACAAAGTATAACAAATATACCGTACTCCAAGGTACATTCAAAAAGGGGAAGACCATAAAAATTGACACAATCAAACGTTAGACTTCATTTATTTACTGGAACGAATGGAAAACATCTACCATATTCCTGACTTGGAAGAAAATGGTGTCTTAAACTGGTTTTATAGCTAGCTGAACCTCCCACTTGTATGACAGTTGTTTACAGTTCCGTTATATTAACAAAATTGGATGAGCAACCGAAACAGATATAATATGTTAATGTGACAATAATTGGAATCCAGCAGCCAAAACTGTGCAAAAATACGTCACAGACATACAACACAATTGACCAAAAAAATCTAACAAAGAAGCGAACAAAAGGTAGTTGGAGTTGATAGTAGTTGACAAAAGTGCCAACAAAAAAGTTTTTGTAATTGATTGTATATACAGTTCTAGTATAAAGAATACACTTTCTCGATAAAGTACAAATTTCTATTTGAATAACTAAGTTTATTCATTCAACATTCATGTTTTGCAAGAATCTTTGTCATACACCTTTTTAAAAAAAATAATTCAATTGTATAAACTTACTTCGGAGCAAAATCGACATGATTTACTATATGTCCTGCTCTTACAAGACCAGAAAATCCAACCGCTAATGCTAAACACACAACTGCATACTGTCGGTTGTCACATGTTATAAATCCTGTGATAACAAGACTCCCACCAGTTCCAAAAAAAGCTAAAAAGAAAAAAGAAAAAAATATTTTTGGCAGGTTCTCTCCCTTGCAACATACAGGTATTTGAGTCCGAGCCAAATAGATAGAGGACAGGTAACCAGTCTTAGTTTATTTCACACTACATGCAATTATTTTGTTTTAAAATAAAAGGATAACTGAAACTGAATCATACTGACCGTTGAAAGTAATTTATATTTTGCTTACCGTTATACCACACTTAAGCTTCGTTTCTGGCATTGATAAATAAAAAAAATGAGATCTAAAGCAACAAATATGGCACGATATACACAGAGAACATTACGAAATATTCGTTATAAAATTTAGAGATCGAAATCCGAGGGCTGATATTGATTTTGAGTTGATAATCTATGATTTGCAAATTTTGTAATATATTGGGCACTATATAATGTTGCTAAAATAAGGAGATTTGGTAAGATTGCCAATGAGACAACTATCCACCCAAGTTCAAATGAAGGGGATGTAAGCAATTATAGGCAACCGTGCAGCGACAATGAGAAAAACCCATACAGGATAGTCGGCTATAAAAAATCAAAAGTAAAATGCCCCGATATAAAAAATATGAAACAATTCAATTGAGAAAACTAACGGCCAAATAAACATTCTACTATTATTCCCAAACAATACAGAAAAGAGTATTAGTATGTGAAACATTGTTACTAGTATGCAGAGCAGCAAGTCCACAGCACACAACTATGAAAAATTGACACTATATATATATATTGTTATACTTTAATCTAACACATTGAACAGATAACTTGTAATGTAGCTGGAATCCCATTTTCAGTTTATAAATTGCACTTTAACTTTGCTTATAACTTCTTTACAAAATTGACCACAAATTATTGGAAGTTGTATGTATTGTTTTGGTTTTCTTAGTGTGCTGTATTTTTGGTTTCGTAGGCTTTTTGTTTCAAGCGTACGCTTTTTCTAATATTCAAGAAGCTCGCTCTATAAGATCAATATAATAAGTCTTTATTACCTATAAGTTCAAACAATCGCCTAGCAGCAGTCGTAGACAATATTCCTTTGGATCGTAAAATATCAGCAACTTGTCCACCAGCAAAAGCACCAAATGCCTGGCAAATATAAGGCACTGCAGACAATGCTCCGTTCTACAAATACACAGAAATTTAAGTAACAACTTCTAATTAAAAAAACATATTTTCAATTGTAACAGATACCAAACCATATGGTTTCCCATGCTTAATATACAAATAAGGAGATGTGTTATGATTGACAATGAGACAACTATCCACCAAATTTCAAATAAAGTGGATATAAGCAATTATAGGTCACCGTACGGTCTTCAACAATGAGAAAAAAACCATACCATATAGTCGTCTATAAAAGGCCCCGACATGAAAATTAAGGCTGTTTCCAGCAGAAAATTCATAAATACAGCGAAAAATTTACGTGATATTCAAAACAGAGTTAATAATTTAAATTTATATACAAATATGTCTACGTGAAGTAAAACCAAATGGATCTTTTGAATAGAAATCTTAATGGTATAATGATAATTATAACCAGATTATTTTTAAATGGCAACTTGGCACTTCCTTACCTTTCTTGAAACAAATTGTCAGTTTTTTGTATACTTCTTTTTTAGCCCAGATTATTTTGGGATCTATGTCATAGAAAAAATTAGGCAAACTAGAGCTGACGTTTGGAGAGCCAAAAGCATAAAAACCAAAAAGAGCCTTAATAGAACTATTCAATAAGATGATTTCAATTTTAGCAACCATGGGTTTAGAAGATCCTTTGTAAATCGATACTCTTTATCAGGAATATCCCGATCGGGAAAAAAGTATAACAAAAATATCGAACTCCAGGGCAAATTCAAAAAGGGGAAGTCCATAAAAACTGACGAAATCAAACGCTATCAATCAACGAAACAAGTGAAAAACAACTGCCATATTCTGACTTGGTACAGGCATTTTCAGAAGAAAATGGTGAGTTAAACATTGTTTTATAAAGCTAAAAAACGCAAGCTCTGAATAGTTGTATAAACTATCAGACACGAACACAATATTCCAGTGAAGCAGGAACATAAACACGTTAGACTATTCCCTTGACGGCGTTGTTCATGACAACGCAATCGTCCTGACAAGTCCCAAGATTGTTGAAAACGCTAAACAATACAGCAATTTGAAAACAGTTCTTGCTTCTTAGTTTTTTCATTGTATAATTTTGTAAACTGCTTCAAAACTTTCTAACTATATATGTATATGCTTTATGAAAACTTTTCTAAACCCGCAAATGTTCAAACCTTGCAGTAGATTTAATGAAATATTCCATAAAAGAGCTTTAAAATGAAATGTGAGAAAAGTAATTCCAGAATCAACATCCCATGCGGAAAAAATGACACGGGGTAACGACTTATGAATATAACTTGGAGACGGGTGGTACATGTGGAGCAGGATCTGCTTACCCTTCAGGGTTCGTGGTGGTCAGTTTTTGCATTTCAGTGTTGTGTTTTGTATACCGTTGTTTTGTCTTTTCGTCTTTTCTTTTTTTGCCATGACGTTGTCAGTTTATTTTCTACTTATGAGTTTAAATGTCCCTTTGGTATCTTTTGCCTCTCTTTGGCAGTGGATAATCGAATATTAAATTTTTTAGAAGTAAGTGAATGTCATGTATGCAATTACAGATGCTTTCCAAACGCATAATCAAAGATAGATTGAGCAGATAAAACAAATCGCTTACGAAAGTACTAATATAGAAATTAAAACATAACTTACGCTTTTTATATCAAATTTTAGCACTGTTTTCATAAAGGTAGGTAAGCTAGTCAATAGTGTATAAAGCTGCCAGTTATTACACATATGGGCAACTACACATGCAAACAAAGCACGAGATTTAATTATTTCCTTCCATGGAGCCTTTCCAGACTGAAAAAGCAATAATAAATAATACATTAAAATCAAAATGAAATACGAATTTATTACTTTTCACAAACGCTTACTCAAAATATAGATTTCTATCATATCCAGTTAAAATCGTATATAAAAAAAAGAAAGCAAAAAAATATAAAGCATGGACAAATAATAAATGGAATGTATACTATGTTCAGTATAAGATTTAAAAAAAAAATCTGCCTTCAAAATTCTTCTCATTGTATTGACAACTTTTAAAAGTTTTTTTTGTCTCAAGCAAGTCTAAAAAAACGGGAATGCTATTATTTTTGTCTCAAGCAAGTTTAAAAAGGTGAATGATGTTATTTTTGATACTCTTTAGTTTTATGGACTGTTGTTTGTTTTATCAGTTTTACACCGCTTTTATTATTATTCGTATGTTATACAGAAATTATAAAGCACTTTAAAAAAGCGTTAATACAAGCAATTAAAGGTATGCACATATAAACGGTAGGATGTGCAGAAATAGATATTTGTTGTCACCCGTATGTGTGTATCATATTCAATGGTAGACTCAATATAGTTTTTCTCAGCCTCCGTTATGCGTGGATGTTCTGCAGGAGTATCAGCGGTCAGAACAAACCAAGCTATCACCCAAATGAATGTTAATCCTCCTGCAATGTTAAAAAAAGTATTAACAAAAATACCGATCTCCAAGGTAAATTAAAAAAGGGGGAAGTCCATAAAACCTTACAAAAACAAACTCTCGACTGTGTCATCCAACGGAACGAATGGAAAACAACTGTCATATTCCTAACTACCTAACGGTAACGACAAAAAAGATTTTGAAAAAAAAAACTATACAAGGATACCAAGTTTATAATTTAGTAGGATGAATGAAAGTTTAGTCTTTATAAGACTCATGAACTGTGCTCGATCACAAAAAATTGATATGCCAAATCAATTAGAACGTTGACGAGCTTTGAAACCCCAAAACTTCCAAAATTGTGTGCTATATCTGGTTAAGGCCTTCAATGCCTGAAGCAAAACACCTTTAGTTAGTATTTCATATTATTATAAAGTTTATGAATTGTAAATTTATCCCCCCCCCTCATTGAAAATGACATTTCTTATCAACACAGGAGTTCTGAATGAGTGTATTGTGACCAACAGTTGCATCGTTCCAATGGTTACAATTCTCACCAAAGATAACAGACAAATCATTAAATACTCCGGACATATGTTTTGTCTACACAAGACTCACACTTGCGTTCGAAGAAAATCAGTTAAAAGGCAAACTCATTTAGGAAAAAAATCTACGTTCACTTGTGGAGCTGGCTCTTCGTACTCTTTTAGAGCACCTGAGTAAACCCTCTATTTTTTTAGGGTTTGTGTTTCTTGGTCTGTGAAGTGTTTGTCGACTGTTGTTTGTCCTTTGCTTCCCCATTTTTAGGGGTACGTTGTTGTTTATTGTCTGTCGTTTTTCGACTTATGGTTTTTGATTGTCTCTTTGTAAATTTTTACCATTGCTATGGCAATTAGACGTGACGCGGAATTCGTTGACAAATCTAATTTGTTCGGATACACATCATTTTAAAAAAATGCAGTCCTATTTTTCTGTTGAAATCTTGAAATAATTTTGATAGAAAAATGTGATATTTCATACTTAAAGAATTTAATATATCTAAATAGATGATCATAAATATATTACCTGTGAGGTAAAATATAGAACCCCATCCATTATCGAATCCATACTGGCAAAGGACACCGGATGTAGCAAAAGTTATGGTTGTACCAAACATAGTTCCTTTAATAATAGCATAAAATTCCGACAGATATGCAATGTATGAAGGCTTCGAATGTGCTAAAAATGTTATAACCAGCCAGTTTTCAGCGCCAGAAATTCAGTGGTTGTCGTTTTTTGTTGTATGTCATACTTGTGTTTCGTTTGTTGTTTTGTATATGATAAAATTGAGAATGGAAATGGGAATGTGTCAAAGAGACAACAACCCGACCATAGAGCAGACAACAGCCGAAGGCCACCAATGGTTCTTCAATGCAGCGATAAACTCCCGCACCCGAAGGAGTCCTTCAGCTGGCCCCTAAAGTTATGTCTTATGAGTTAAGTCTTTGGTTTTCTGATTTGAATTGCTTCACTTATTTTGTTGGGATCTTTTATAGCTTGCTATGTGGTATGGGTTTTTAAAATTTTTGAAGGCCGTACTGTATTATAGTTACTAACCTCTACGTCATTTGGGTCTTTGGAGGATAGTTGTCTAATTGACAATCATACATCATCTCTGTATCTTATATATTTAATTTAGTTCACAGAACAATACTCAGAAAACTAAAGATTGAGAATCACGAACCCGGTAAACGTAGGTGCGCCGGAAAGAAAAGTAACTCCCGTACCACTAGTGTAAGCGTCGTGTTGATCAGTTAAAGTAAAAAAAAAGGTGACAAGTCCCATTAGGTGACGTCATAAATGAGGAATGATTGATGGACCTGTGAAACCTGCAGTAAATTAATCAATGAATTATTGGTTCTTCAATTAAAAATTTAAAGGTCCTAACAACTAAACTCCACAGAGAACAAATAATTATAGCTATTGTATTTATTCAATGGGACAGCTCAGCTTGCAAAAGTTTAAAACTTTTACAATAACTCTTTAAAAATACCCCTTTTAAGAATATTTTAGTTACGAACTAAAACAGGTGAGTTACAGGTAAATATCAAATACCAGTCCATAAGAGGACCCCCTAATCCTTAATGTTGTTTTAGTCTAATTATCAAATGTTGGAGAAAAGTGAACACACCGTATTTATTCAATGGGATAGCTCAATTTGCAAAAGTTTAAATGGAGAGGTAAACACCAATTGATTCTGAGGAAATGTTTCATTCCTTTAACAATACGTACCTATTTCCTTTCTCAAGCAGATTATAGATATGATTAACATGAGATGTTGGGCATGCGTAAACAATACAGTAACCTATTTAAAAACCAAAAAATAAATATAAAGGGCATATACAGTCTTTTACAATTGACTGATTGGTGTCTTTACAATATGTCAAATTTTAATTCACCCCGAGTCTATAAAACATTAGCACAAAATCAGAAACAATCAAAATCTGTCATTGACATCCAATTCCCCAAATAACGAAAAACAATAATATAGATATCTGTACTAGATTCCTAGCTTTGAACAGGCACATGAAAATGAGCCGGGGTTAAAGTAGGATTTTTTTAAGATCTCAACTCTTTTTTAAAAAATTCGGATAAGTAAATTAACAAGGCATACATTACAGAACATAAAATAGAAACCAATACAGGAAACAACCCCGCTTTATTTCTGTTATAATGGTTTATTAAATACCAAAACTAACATAAAAGAACATATAATTCAAGCAATTCAGTGCAGGAAAAACCAATGAATCTCAAATTATATTGTATTAAACAATTTTGTCCTACAAGTTAAGGTGCAGATTCTTTGCCTGCTATTAACAGAAATATATATAACAAAATGTTTGACATACCCATGTATCCCACTGAAACCAGCTTACTGCTCTCTAAAGGTGGTGCCCAGCGTCCCCACATTGACTGAAGAGCGGGAAACACAGTACCCTGTATAGTGAAGAATTGATTGATTGATTGATTGATTGGATGTTAAAAGTGCAAATTCGAAATACTTGTTCTGGTAAATACGTCCTCGGATTTGTGACTAAAATTATATATAATTGCTGTAAACATTTCCATTTCAAAGTGAAAACATTAGGGGTCAGTATATCATACTGATCATGCTGTGGAGATGAAAACCGACCACTCAAAATTAAAACCTGCAGTCGTAATCCCTCATCAATTATTCAAATTGCTGCTGGTCGTAGTTCCTATGATACTTATTGAATGTTCTGCGAATTTCGAAATTTTGCAAAATTAAACAAAAGAAACAACATACCGTCCCGAGCCCCACTATACTTGCTGCTGGCCGTTACTCTTATGATACTTACTGAGTGTTTTGCGAATTTCCGAACTTTGCAAAATTAAATAAACTTAAGATACAACATACCGTGCCGAGCCCTACTATAACTCTCATGACATATACCAGAATTACAGACGTTCTTGCGCAGACAGGAAGTAGGACCGTCGCTAGCCCTGATATTGCCATAGAAACACCGAATACACGTTTCCCGCCAAATTTGTCTGAAAACCATCCTGCTGGAATTTGTGTTACAATATATCCGTAGAAAAATGATGCTAGGATTGTAGATCTTAGGTCTTTATCCCAATCAAACTCTGCTCGCTAAAAAAAACAAATTAAGACAAAAGTGTATGAACCGTTAATATATTACATATTTACGATGTAACAATCACATCATTTTTGAGAACCATTTAAAAAGATTTTAACCAAAAAGTTAGCAAAATTTTCAAGTTGTGTAGAAACCGCTCTATTTTTGTAAGCTTGTAAATGCTGAACTTTAAATTAGGTCTCCTGAAGCGATTTGTTTCGTAAGATTGATGTTATCGTTTCGCGTTTCGTTTTTTAAAGCAACTTCGAATAAAAAAAAAAAAAACGAAAACAATCACGTGTTCAAAACTCTATAAATGAGCGATACAAAAAGTAAGATGAATATATTAAGAATTAAAAATAAATCAATTCCAAAAGAAAATTTGTATATGCTCATTAGTTATTTGTAGTGTAAAAGAAAAGAAAAAAAATCACTGATACACTCCTATTTTAAGCAGAGAAAATCACAGGCAGTTGTCTCTGAATTTTATTTTTACCTACATGTATATACTTTTATATGTTATATTAAAGTAAATAGGTAATTATTTTATATAGAGAAGTGCCTGCGGAAAAAAATATATAAAAGAAAAGTTCAGTTTTCTGTATGAGAGTCGTAGAACTCTTTTGGAAATAATATTTCTGTTTGTGTGGAACACTAAACTGAAAAGTGTCGAGATCAACATTAAAAGGCAGCATGCTTTACTTTAAAGTTAAATATTTGAAATATCTTTCTGAAGTATTCATTTCAACAAATTTGATATCAAGATAACTGCTCGAAAATATGTACTAGCTTTATTTCGATCTTTCAGAAAGATCAGAATCAAGGAAAAGAAAAACGCGTAACAAATTGCCCAAGGTCAGCTTTTGCCATAGAAAAAGGAAATTTAAAATCTGCGAAAATAAACCACTTTAGTATGCATCTTTTCATACTTCTTTATTCATTTCTTTGTTACAAAATTACAGTCATATAGACAGTACATGACGGTTAGTCGCTCTCAGTCGTAGAAAAAAACCTGAATTGGTATCAAAATAAAAGACAATTGTCGTTCTGATCAGATTCTACATGCTTCACTAGTAACTCGACCAACTGTTTCTGACGACAGACAATTTTGTTAGTAATTGTGTAGCAACGTTTTGGAACGAGACATACAATTTGGTTTCATCTGTTCCATGCAATGACTTAAGTGCTCAGAAATAATAATAATAATAATAATAAAAAAAAAAAAATAAAAAAATAAAGTAGAAGACAAAAAGACTAGAAAACGAGTAGATATGTAGCGTTTTTATTGAAATGTGTTTTATTCACCAGACAAGAATGTATAACAGAATTAATTGCACTCACATCATATTCCTTTTTAGTTGTTTCAAGTACGCATGTAAGATCTGTATTATTCTGTTGACTACTTGACACTGAAGTGTCATTTATTCTAACCATGCACACTATTCCAACACTTATGTTGACACGTAAAGCATATACCAGTAGAAAACCGAAGAATGCAGTGTAAGCTAATATCCATCTTTGAGAACAACAACATGGGACATTTTCTACAAAACAAAAACCAGAAGAAGCATGGTACATTTCCTACAAATAGCAGAAGTAGCATGGTACATTTCCTTCAAATAACAGAAGTAGCATGGTACATTTCCTTCAAAAATCAGAAGTAGCATGGTACATTTCCTACAAATAACAGAAGTAGCATGGTACATTTCCTACAAATAACAGAAGTAGCATGATACATTTCTTACAAATAACAGTAGTAGCATGGTACATTTCCTACAAATAGCAGAAGTAGCATGGTACATTTCCTACAAATAGCAGAAGTAGCATAGTACATTTCCTACAAATAACAGAAGTAGCATGGTACATTTCCTTCAAATAACAGAAGTAGCATGGTACATTTCCTACAAATAACAGAAGTAGCATGGTACATTTCCTACAAATAACAGAAGTAGCATGATACATTTCTTACAAATAACAGTAGTAGCATGGTACATTTCCTACAAATAACAGAAGTAGCACGGTACATTTCCTACAAATAACAGAAGTAGCATGGTACATTTCCTACAAATAACAGAAGTAGCATGGTACATTGCCTACAAATAACAGAAGTAGCACGGTACATTTCCTACAAATAACAGTAGTAGCATGGTACATTTCCTACAAATAACAGAAGTAGTACGGTACATTTCCTACAAATAACAGTAGTAGCACGGTACATTTCCTACAAATAACAGAAGTAGCATGGTAAGTTTCCTAAAAATAACAGAAGTAGCACGGTACATTTCCTACAAATAACAGTAGTAGCATGGTACATTTCCTACAAATAACAGAAGTAGTACGGTACATTTCCTACAAATAACAGTAGTAGCACGGTACATTTCCTACAAATAACAGAAGTAGCATGGTACATTTCCTAAAAATAACAGAAGTAGCACGGTACATTTCCTACAAATAACAGAAGTAACACGGTACATTTCCTACAAATAACAGAAGTAGCATGGTACATTTCCTACAAATAACAGAAGTAGCATGATACATTTCCTACAAATAACAGAAGTAGCATGGTACATTTCCTACAAATAGCAGAAGTAGCACGGTACATTTCCTACAAATAACAGTAGTAGCATTGTAAATGTGCACAAAGAACAGCAGCTTGATACATGATGGTCTCGATTGGGGACCTTCATTTCTTTTTTTTATTTTTAGACCATTTTTCTCTATTCTTTATTTATTTGCTAATTATTCTCTTTTTATTTCTTTTGCCCATGATTCTCCATTTTTTATTTATTTTGCCCATTATTTTCTATTCTTTATATTTTAGTACACGATTATTCTATATTCTTAATTTTATTTGCACCTTTTTCCATTGTTCTCTACTCTGTGAACCCCATTCAGACTTTCATAAATTTTCTACAAGGAATAACATTGTTTAGTTTGGATCCAAAAAATAAATATGCAATGTTTATTTTCCGGAAGTAGCAACATTTTGGTAATTCCCTATACACAACAATAATATATGGTACATTTGCATTACCTATAAAAACAACTTATGAAGGTTTGAGTTCGCCACATGTGTTATGTGTCTGTTTTAAACCAGGAGGCTGAAAATCATTGGTTGGCTTTGGTTCCTGTCTGTCAAATTTGTTTTTCGTTACTCTTTTTGCCATAAATCTGGCAGTTCTTTGTTTTCGTTTGAATTGTTCAACATTTTGTAGTGTCGAATCCTGTAAACTAGCTGACTATACGGTATGGGTTTTGCTCATTGTTGAATACAGTTAGGTAACCTACAGTTGTTGAAATCAACTTCTTTGGTCTCTATAAGTTAATTGTCTCGTTGGAAATTATACATCTCCTTGTTTTCATAATGCTATATTTCAACTCATGACTTACTTTATTTAGAAAGTGCTGAGAACAACAAAATATAATTAAACATATTTTCACCCCTGAATGTATAATGTAGATCAAGTTCATGACCGCCTCGGTGGTCTCGTGGAAGCGTGTTCGCCTCCGAGTGCTGGAGGTCGTGGGTTCGAACCCCGGACGGGTCAAACCAAATACATCAAAATTGATATTTGCTGCTTCTCCGCCAAGCACGCGGCATTAAGGAGTAAGAGCAAAGACTGGTCGACTCGGAGTCAGAATAATGTTTCCGGGTAAGGTAACATGTCTTCCTACGGACCGTTACATTTACAATGTATCTTGTGAACTAGCACGTTAAAAATCCGGCTCAGCGTGTCGGTCTAGTACAAAGCAGGGTTAATATTCATAATTCATTAACATATTCTCGTCCTGAATATGCATATTAATTTGCCACTGGACGTTAAGCAGCCATCCATCATCATCACCATCAAGTTCTTCAATAAGTGAATTGAAATAACAGAAACAGAAAATGGTTTGTTGTACACCGAGGGTATTTTAGAATACCATCGACGGACCTACCTTAAGAAATATCAATGAGGCAAATATCCACCAAAGACCAAGGAACAAGGATATTTACAACAATGTACGGCCCTTCAACAATAAGCAAATCTAGCACTGTAGAGAAATTGTTATTTGAGTTACAATAGGCAATGAGATAGCAGAATGTAAAACAATTAAACAATTAGTAAGTAATGGCTGGATTTAAGATTAATTGGCATGGGGTCCTTCGTCATCGTGGATCGCAAATAGCGGAAAACGATCAGTCAAGATTTTCATTTAGATAGGAGCATATGTTGAGGCAGGAACGCAATTCATATTTAAGATTTTTTATTTACATGAAGAAAGTTGTAGGACTTTCTTTAATAATTTTGACTGGATTTACAATTATTAAAAATAAGAAGATGTGGTATGAGTGCCAATGAGACAACTCTCCATCCAAGTCACAATTTGTAAAAGTAAAGCATTATAGGTCAAAGTATTGTTTGATTTGTTTTTAACAGTAAGGGTACACATGTAGCTTATTAAATACAGTTATAATATTTTTATTTTGTATAATAACAAGAAGTAAAAAAGTACGATAATCCAATTTTTTTCTTTTAGTTTTCAAAACGCGTTTTCTTTGTTGAAAAAGTTATTTGTTTTTGTAGTGATTAAGATTATATTATAATAGATATAAGAAGATGTGGTATGAGTGCCAAAGAGACAACTCTCCATCCAAGTCAAAAGAAAACCATTATAGGACAAAATACGGCCTTCAACACGGAGCCTTGGCTCACACCGAACAGCAAGCTATAAAGGGCCCCAAAACCATTCAAACAGGAAAACCAACGGTCTAATCTATGTTAAAAAAACGAGAAACGAGGAACACTTATGAATGTTGACTGCTGTACCCTAATTTTTGACTTTTATACCTATTATGTCTGTTTGCTTTGCTCACACATTGTTGTCTATATAATTGAATTCTATCCGACTGTCATACAAGTGAGAGGTTTAGCTAGCTATAAACAAGGTCTAATCCACCATTTTCTACATTAGGAAATGCCTGTACCAAGTCAGGAATATGACAGTTGTTTTCCATTCGTTTGATGTGTTTGAGCTCTTGATTTTGCCGTTTTATAAAGGATTTTCCGTTTTGAATTTCCCTTAGAGTTTGGTATTTTTGTTATTTTACTATTTTCTAAATCTTATCTTCTCACAATTCCTGTGAAAAATTCTGTTATTTAGTTTTCTACCTATTAACATAATTATGCTTTTCCATGTATATTCCTTACATGTACACACATATGTCAATTTTTCACACCCTTTAGCTTGGGAAAACAAACTCTGTGACCTACAGCTATAATTTTATCAAATTGGATAATAGCAATATATAAATTACAATTTTGTCATTAACATCCCATATTACGGTAAGCGATCAAACGAAATACATTTGCGACAGACGGGCACCACGGTAAACCATTGCACAGCACTACAGGCTATAGTTTGTATAATAGTTTAATATTTACAAATTATTCAATATAAAAACAAGGAGATGTTGTATGATTGCCAATGAGACAAATATCCATCCAAGTTCAAATGAAGTGAATGTAAGTAATTTTAGGCACCCGTACGGCCTACAACAATGAGAAAAACCCATACCGTTTAATCGGCTATAAAAAGCCCTGACATGAAAAATATGACACAATTCAATTGAGAAAACTAACGGCCTATTTTATAACAAAACAATTTATTAAAAACAAGTATGACAGACATGAACCAACGACAACCACTGAACTACGGGATCCTGACTTTGGACAGGCATATAACGAATGTGGCGGCGTTAAACATGTTTGTGAGCGCTCAACCCTCCCCTAACGTGGGACAGTGGTGTAACAGAAAAAACATAAGTAGTTCAGCAAAACAACATAAACGGTTCATCACATGGTAGTTAACCGAAGGAGGACTGAAGTAAAGAAATAGTCACCAATATCAATGCTGAGGGGCTGTCGTTTGGTTGTTGGATGTATAAATACGTAGGTCGCGTCCTATCAGAATTAGGACGTTCAGTCCGATGGCTTATGTTTGGAGAATATCTAAATTTCTCTGACCATAAACAAAACTGTGCAACAAATCTCTGAGGGGGAACTGTGCAACAACTCTCTGAGGGGGACCTGAGGGGAACCTGTTGTACGGAAAATTCCATGCCCTTATCTTACATTCCTTAATATTTTTCTAAGTGATAGTCCAACTCTCGTGCTGTCTTCCTCCTCGTCAACACACTGAATTAGTTCCTACATATGTGTGAAATATTTGCCACGGACGGTTTGGAAAGTAACAAATAACTATCAATTAGTCATACAATTTAGAAACTGATGACTTAAATTTAAAATAAACAGCTGTGCCATGAGCACATGATACGCCCGTCGCTTTTTCAAAGAATAAACAACTTCTCAATATCATATCAGAAAGGAGAAGGTCCGGTAAGGGCTAATTTCGGCCTTAAACTCGAAGAACATCTGATAAAAGATTTTTGACATTTTTTAAACACTAACATTGTAAGTGTCTACTTCAGTCGATTCAGTTATTGTAAAATATTTGGACTGATTTGGTCATTAAAAACGCTCAAATTCCAACTTAAATATGAAAAATTTATCAAATATGCCATAAAACGTCACTTTTCAGATGGTTTTTGACTAAAATAGAATTGGCCACAGTCGTGTTCACTCTCAACATTTATATATGTTATATATTATCATTAAATACAACATATATTTAAACATCAAGACCGAACACAAGTGCGGCCACTTCCATTTTAGACAAAAACCGTCTTAATATTAGCACAAATTTTTAAATTGTGAAGATATCAGTATTTTTGCATGAAATAATGATGCTAGTACCTGATCATGATGCATGTCCATTGTTTTATCAAAAAAAGCCAATATGTATGTAACAAAAGTATTCTACTTTCCAATAAATAGCTAAAAATTTACAATTTAACAACTTTGTAAAAACGCTATATTTTGGGCCAAAAAAGGGGTCTTACCGGGCCTACTCCTTTATGAAAAACTAAAGGGAGGTTTTCTTAATAGATATAAACCAGTCACCAAAGTTTCATGAAGACTGCTCAAAGCACTTTAAAGATATTGTAGGAAAATCACCCCTTTTTATGAATAAAATCCCATAACTCGGAAACGTAAAATCTAAAATTTATAAAAATCGTAAGGGAGCTTACGTCATTAGATATAAACAATTCACCAAATTTTTATTGAAAACTGGAAAATCACCCTTTTTTTTAATGAATAAAACCCTAACTCGGAAACGTAAAATCTAGAATTTATAAAAATCGAAAGGGAGCTCATGTCAATAGATATAAACAATTCACCAAAGTTTCTTGCAAATTGGTGAAAGTGTTTTTGAGTTATTGTCCGAAAACTGGAAAATCCCCCTTTTTTAATGAATAAAACCACATAACTCGGAAACTTAAAATCTAAAATTTATAAAAAACGGAAGGGAGCTCACGTCAATAGATATAAACAATTCGCTGAAGTTTCATGCAGATTGGTTAAAGCGTTTTTGAGTTATTGTCCGACATGTTGACGACGGACGGACGGACGGACAACAGTATACCATAATAGTCCCGTAAACGGGCGTATAAAAAGTGCTGAAATTTTTTCGACTTTGTCATAGTACAATTTAAGTTGAATTTTCTGTTTATCTTTAATTTAATTGCACGTGAAACATTTCCTTAATAACATGACACAATGTACTAGATGCCTCGTGTATGCAGGTATAATTAGCGAGCGCTGTAAATTTCAAAGAAATTAATTGCATGGTACATGTACTAACCTCTTTCTTTCAGCTGATTATTTTCACTACTTTCAATAAACGGCGAAGTAGTTTTCTCTTCATTCTCCATTTCTTAATGTCATGAATGTGGAGTGCATGTCATACACAGTTAGGGTCAAAAGTTCATATGCATTGTTATGTTGTTCAAGAAATCCACTATTTTATCAATAATACTCACAATTTAAAAATCACGATAAGAAGTTTGTTATCAGGAAGTATAATTTGTGATAAGTTTGATAAAGCTATAATCATCGCATACATGTAGCGTATTGAAGGAGGCTCCCGTATATATTCAAATATATGCCAAGGCCGAGACTCTCAGAATCTGACAAATCTATTTATACTTTTTCATTGGTTTGTTTGTTTGTTGCATGACAAGATGGTGCACATAGATTGAGTGCTTTATTTCCCCCCTAAGTTTTAATTTTATCATTTGTTTTTGATGTTGTATATAATGAATAAATAACTTTTTATTAGTTTATTGCTAATTAAAATACTAAAAAATACTATATAATTCATTTTTCCATCCCGAAATGACACAATTAATGATTTAAATAAATTATTGTAAATTCATAAATTTTTGCGATGTTTTTTTTTTAATTGGAAAATTGCAACGGATATATGCTTTGCCAAAAAGTAGAGTTTTTGATTTTGATTTTGATAGCATCAATAAAATATTGAATTGAATTAAAGCAGTATTTGTATTCAACATTCGCTGTCATCGTAATAATTAATCAAACATTTTTGTCAATTGATCAGTTCTTATAATAAATGCACTCCAAAATTTCTTAATTTACAATAGCAAGGTGTTTGTATTGTGATGCGACGATGGATTGATGGATGCTTACCATCCAGCGGCAAATATTACATATGTATTGCATACGATAACTTTTGATTTAATTATGAAAAATACTTTGTACCATAAGGGAGCTACCATTTTGAATTTTATGGGGGCTAGGATGAAATTTGAAAAAAGGCAGGACAGGAGTTTTGAGTAAAAAAACAGGCAGGATAAGCAGTTGGCAACAACAAAAAAAGGCAGGATGACAATTTTTGTAAAAAAGTCAGGATTAACTAATAAAAAAAGCAGGACCGAATAGAGTGAAAAATAAAAAGGCAGGACAGAGATTACAACTAAAAAAAATGCAGGACAAAATTTTTCATCCTAGCCCCCCCCCCCCCCCCCCCCCCCCCCCCCCCCCCCCTAAACATCAAATGGTAGCTCCCTAGTGACAAAGAAACCAGTTTTTAACGTGATGGAATCGATCTAACGGGACACATTATTCTGACTTCGAGAGGATTAATCCTCCTGTCTGTCGCGTAATTGACGGAGGATTAGCAATTTATATAAAAGAGGCATACTAATGAATCTTCTGTAAATCAGTGATTGTTACAAGAACACTGCATTTGTCTTTCTTATAATTGAAACTGTTCTTCCTCATCAAATCTATATTTTTGTTATTCAACGAGATCTTATCATATAAGGATTTGATAACTATAGCTATCAGAACTGCTAGGTTATTTTGTTATTAAAAAAGGATAATTACCATCGAATCTCCCTCGAAACATGGTCTTCACACACCAACTTGTGCTTGCTATAGATGCATCTATTTGCTGTTAGTTTAAGGTTGTACAACCATGTCTGATACAATTCTTTCTTTTTTTGTGGGATTGGGAAAACTATGTAGACTTTTGTCATAACCTTGTCTGACAGAACAACCGTACGCTTGGCAAGACATTTTGACACTGAATAACCGTCTACGGTAATCCCCAATTGATGATGGGAGTTTTTAACGCACGGTCGGTAAATCCCCGATTCTTTTTGTTCTTTGTGGTTTATAGATATCACGTGACTTTTTAGATCGAACATGCCGACAAGATGGCGATATGTCGAGAACTGATAGTGAATTTCAAAAATCGATTTTGATCTCTTTACATAGAGAATAAAAGTTTTTTATTTATGAACATGTGGTTTTTTATGCTTAAAGAACAAAATATCAATTTTTCATTTTTTTGCGGAGTTTCCCTTTAAAGGTCTTTGGTAAGACCTGACCGAGTATCCAACACATAATTCAGGATCTCCCGAATTGATGCCTGCACGCTACCACATGTCAAGATCAAATCAGGCTGAGCCATTAGACTATGCATTCGTCAAGCTTAATCGTTAAAGGTCACATTTCTATACAATAAACATATACTTTTCATTTCCTGTTTTGTCTATCTTTTAAATGCAGTTAATACTTTTATCAATAAAAAGTAAAGTAACAAAAATACCGATCTCTAAGGGAACTTTAAAGAAAATTCAAAACGGAAAGTCCTTTATAAAACGGCAAAGCTCAAACACATCAAACAAATGAAAAACAACTGTCATATTCCTGACTTGGTACAGGCATTTCCTTATGTAGAAAATGGTGGATTAAAATGGTGTTATAGCTAGCTAAACCTCTAAATTTTCGTTTTATAGCTCACCAAGCTAAACCTATTGAAAAAATAAGGAAAAAGAAACTATAGTAAATACAAGTATATAGGGATTGGTCGCGCCAGAAAGTTAAAAACTAAAATAGCCCAAAAATAAAAAAAATAAGGTCAAAATCGAATTTCCCACGTGAAGTTTTTTAAATTAGAATTACAAAATCTAACAGAAAGACGTCTTGGTAAGTGTACAAAATGTCCACGTTTCCGTTACTCAAGTAGGTATATCACGTGATAAAAATGGCATTATCTATGACCTCTACGTCATGCATATTCATGAAATAAGTGAGGTCATTGTGAACCGTAACGTAAAATCAGCTGTGTTTACAAACATTACATGTAAATACGGAAATGCCTATCAAATTAAAAGATTAGTTTATTATTTGTGAAAGTATTGAGAAATTATTCAGTGGTGTATTTCTTTAGGATTAATTCTAGATTTAGCTGGAGAGGTATGTAGAAAGTGTAGCCATGGACATTTTGGATTAATAAAAGGCAGTTCTTTTTCTAACAACATTTTTTATTGGAAGTGTGGTATAGAGAAAATTATTCAGTGGTGTATTTCTATAGGATTGATTCTAGATTTAGCTGGAGAGGTATGTACAAAGTGTAGCCATGGACATTTTGGATTAAGAAAGGACAGTTCTTTTTCTAACGACATTTTTTATTGGAAGTGCAGCAACAAAAAATGCAGTAAAAAGGTTTCTATCAGAAACGGATCCTGGTTTCGAGGACGTGATTTAAGTTTAGAAAAAATATTATTTATTTCGTATTTCTGGATTTACAAAATAGACCAAGAATTTGTAAAGCATGAACTTTCCATTTGTAACCAAACAATCGTAGATTGGTACAATTTTTGCCGTGAAGTCTGTATAGAAATTTTGGAAATAGACAGTGAAAAAATAGGAGGAGATAGCGTAATTGTTGAAATAGATGAAAGTAAATTTGGGAAAAGAAAATACCACAAAGGGCGTCAAGTAGAAGGTCAGTCACTGTGGGTGTTTGGAGGTATTGAAAGAGACAGCAAAATTTTTTTGCCACAGTTGAAAATCGAACAAAAGAAACATTACTAAAATAAATTAAAGACAATATAAAACCAGGAACAACAATAATTAGTGACTGTTGGAAAGCATATGATTGTCTAGGTTCAGAGGGATTTGAGCATTTGAAAGTCAGTCATTCTGTGAATTTTGTAGACTCAGAAACAGGAGCGCATACAAACACCATTGAAAGTACCTGGCGTGCACTTAAAAAATCACTACCAAAATACGGCACGGTAAAATCACTATATGATACTTATTTCAGTCACTATTGTGTACGAAAGAAATATATAAACGGCTCTGACAACCCTTTCATAGCATTTATAAACCTCATTTAAAAGTGTATAATCCAGAAAAACGAAAACAAACATTGATTACGACGGAAATTATCACCATCAGTGAACCACAACCTGCAACTAAAAAACCCAGAGTACTACACGAAATAACAAACACATTAAATTCTAGTCTGGATGATTTTCAAGCTTAAATGGGTAAGTGCATTAGATTTACTTTAAATTGTTCATTTACAATAGTTAAAAGCAATCTTTAAAAATCATTTGCATCTTCGTCTTTTGAAGCGGTAACAAAAATGGCATCTGTTTATATTCTAGCATAGCAACGTAAATTGGGGTTATCGGTCATGCGCATAAATTGTGCATCTTCCAACTTCCGGGGTCCGCTAAAACAAAAAAACCCAAATGACTGAATCTTCAGCGATATCGAAACTAAGATGGAGTTGAAAAATGCAAAAAAAAAAAGAAAAAAAGAAAAAAAGAGTTGTCGAAACAAAGACAGTAACAAATTGCACAAAAGAGTTTGTTGACCGGTAGTAAAACCCTTGCAAATGTGGGATGTACAAGTACGCAGCAACGTCCGGTCATAATGGGGACGTTAAATCTAATGCCTTGTATAAAGAGGGTGCCACGCTCTCTGCACGTTACAAACCTGTGCAACAACTCTTTGAAGGGTCTGTAGGTGGCCTGTTGCAAGCAAATTGTCTGTTCCTATCAAATATGCCCTCATTGTCAAGTGGCAGTCAAAATTTCCCCGAACTTCACCCCGAACAGCATTTATCAAAAGACCTACCTATTGTATTTATCATAAATTTAATCTCGTCCTGAACATGCATGAAATGTTTGCCACTGGACGTTAAGCAACCAACTATCATCAATTAATGCAATTTTTAAGCTTCCTGTACAGTCCAGTCTCTTCCATCTTCAGAAATTGACAACATAATTAACGCACAACCACTTTCAAGACGTATCATACTTTATATTTCTTAATAAAAGTTTTGACTGAAAATTGGGTAGGAAGAAACTTAGCTTTACCCCTACCTTGCAATGTTGACGTTCACGTCATTCAAATGTTATCTACGTTTTATACCTATTATAAGAATTCCCATCGTTTTTTGGAATTATTTTTTTTATCACACTCGTCTAAATTCTTTTGAGAAACAATAACATTAGCTATTTAAGGATTCATTGCAAAATGATGTTTTCGAATTAGATTTATCTAAGTATTCTAATGAAATACATTTATGATATATGCATTTTGCTTCTTTCGTAATAACACGATAATTTTTTTGTGTACATCAGTCCAATCCGGGAAAAACAGTTTCGTAGACAACTTCCTGTTGAGGTCAAATGGAGTAAAATAAAGGTCACCAGCAATGAGCTGAGGGAGGAAAAGTTTGGAAAGTGGACATTTTAAAATTTTGATAGTTAAATTAAGAAGCAATTTTTTAAGGACAAATTAAAGTCATTGAAAAATGCTTTGTTTGATGTGTTTATGATGGT